CCCACTGGAGGAGAGAGGGGGAGGAGAGGGGGAGAAAAGACCCAGGAATGAGAATGAGAGCTGCTAAAAACACCTTCAAAGCTTCATTCTTCATGGTTAATGATGACATCTTCATACGTCTCTGATAATCAGTGACTCTTAATAATGAATCCCTGAGATGATTTTCTGATGATTAAACTGAGAGAGCTGAAACACTCATGAGGAAACAGTTCAAACGTTGACATCTGTTTCTTTCACTTCCTTAAAACTACATGGAAAACAAATGAAGCATGAAGACAAAGCTGATCTGAGTTTACTAATAAAATATTAGTTCAGTTTAACAGGAATCCAGATCAGATATTCACTATTAATTAATGATCACAAAAGGATGAAGAAAAGACACATTACAGAAAAACAAAAAATAGACAAAAATGTAAAGAAAACATTTTGTATAGGAATTAAATATGGCTGTAAGAAAAAAATTTAACATTAAACCATCTAAAGTAGATCATGTTGATCGACAATTTTTATGGCTGGAAAAGAAAATAAGTTTAATTTTCTCTCTGATTTGAACCATTTATAATCCAGAACAAACAATGACTTCTAAGAGGCTCATCCTCCAAGCTTTTTTAAAACTGCTCTGAAGTTATTGCAAAATTTTCTTTTTAGTTAGTTGGATAAAAAAGCAAAAAACAAAACAAAAAAACAACAACCCAAAAACAATTTAAACAATTTAGCAGCATTAAATCTTTCTTGTACTTACAGTCAACGATGAGTTTGGTTCCTCCACCAAAAGTCCACCACAGTGATAGAAACTCATTAAGAGGCCGTACAAAAACCTCCTGCTCTGACAGCAAACATCTTTCTGCTGAAATTTCGCTTTTCAGAATAAAAACGTTTCAGTTTATTCTTAATTTCATCTACAAATTATCTGATATTCATTCAACTTTAAATTACTTTATGATTTAAGATTTTTTTTTTTTTGTTACATTATCAGCCATGAGTTTCGAACTTTAGTTTGCCTCGTGGAAATATTGTAAAATATTTTTATAATTCAGTTTTTACTTTGTTTAAACATGAAATAATAAAATTATAATAATCCAGATAATATAATCCTAAAAACAGCAATTTCTATTGATCTATAATATCTTGAACCTTGATTACCAACAAAAGAGAATAATTATTCATATACCTTCAAGATAAAAGTGGTTTTATTCCATATATGAAAATCCTTCATGTTGTCTCTTTTCTATCTTCTATTTTAATAAAATCCTCAATGGTTTAAATCCAACAACTCGTTGGTCAGATGTTGTGTCTCTGTTTGTCTCCAGTGCGCTGAGAGCAGAGAAATCATTTCCATAGAGAGGAGGCTTTGCATGGTCAGCTGATCCTCCAGGGAACTGAGAAGGTTTATAGTCCTGAGAGTTCAACACTGCAGGACTCTGATCTGTCAGTCAAGCCAGCAGAAACAACAAGCACCATGACTCTCATCTCCATCCTCATCTGGACGCTGACCTGCTGCTGTTTAACAGGTTCATTCCCTCACCAACATTTCTAACATGATGTTCTGCTTTTTCTTTCATTTCTTTCTGCTGATAAATGAAGGATTTGTTTTTGTCTGCAGGATGCAGCGCTCAGGTGACTGTGACTCAGACTCCAGTGGAGACATTTACTCCAGGATCAACTGTCACTATTCGGTGTACAACAAATCCTGCTGTTTACACATTACTTGATAATGATATTATGTCCTGGTATCAGCAAAAACCAGGACAGCCTCCAAAGCTCCTGATATATCAGGTGGAAAACCTTGAGGAGGGAACACCAGATCGGTTTAGTGGCAGTGGAAGCAGCACTGACTTCACTTTGACCATCACTGGAGTTCAGGCTGAAGATGCAGCAGTTTATTACTGTCAGAGCCTACATGTAGTAAATGGTGGTGATGTGTTCACACAGTGATTTTTAGCTGTACAAAAACCTCCCTCAGTCAGACTGCAGACACACTGAGCTGTTAGAGCAGAAACTGACTGCAGCTGCTGAGGAGGAAGAGACCCTGATACAGACCACTGAACACAGAGCTGACAGAAACCTCACCAAACACTAAGGTCACTTATGATAGATAATGTCAGTTTAATTTAAAAACTGAAAGACTGTCAGAGCATCTTTTTACTATATTTATAATATTTTCACTATTTCAGTTATTTTCTAAATCTCTTTTTGAAATTAGTATTATGGCAGAAGTTTATACACAAAAAAAATCATTCAGGACTAAGAAATTACACAGTTCTTCTAATTTGAGTTATTTTGACATACAGCAGATTCTAATTTTTCCTTAAAACAGGGTGAAATACACGTTTCAAACTGTAGTTAGGAACCATTTGTAGGCGGGTCTATAGTTTTTCTCTTACCAACAGAGAACAGATTTTTGGGAAAAAAAGACAATATGAAATGGGATCTAATTAAGGACATGACGTTTTTAATGTAAAAATAAATACAAAGACTGTAAGTACTATCAACCTGCACTTTTATTGAAATAATCAGTTTGCTTCAGGTTTTATAAAATTATATCAGAAAGATGAATATTAGAAATGAAACATAATCTTCCTGAATAAAATACAAGAACATGATTATTTCCAGACATGAAGCTGCAGCTCTACTCTGAGCAGAGATCAGGGTTCAGGGTCTGAGTGACAGGACTCTGTCCACTCTGATTGGCCTCACAGCTCACTGAGCCCGCCTTCCTCAGTTCAAATGTTGACATCTGTTTCTTTCACTTCCTTTAAACTACATGGAAAACAAATGAAGCATGAAGACATAGCTGATCTGAGTTTACTAATAAAATATTAGTTCAGTTTAACAGGAATCCAGATCAAATATTCCATATTAATTAATGATCACAAATATATGTTGAGTTTAAAGTTTAAATTACTTAATAAAGAAAAAGTTTGAAAATAGAAAGAATAAAATTCAGGTTTGGTTGTGAGGACATGCTTATGTAAACAAATAATAAAATAATACATTTTATCGCTACACAAGATAATACGTCTAACTAGTTCTCTGATTTGAACAGTTTAAATCCTGAAGAAATACAAGTCTTAATCATAAACATAGAGTTTGAATTTTATTTAAATAAACCCCACCTTTATTTAAACAGGTTAAAGTAAAAACAAACTGGTTCAATTAACTAAGCAAAAGTAAAGTCTTCTTGTGCTTACAG